ACCTGAATTAAATAAAACGTTCTGCTCACAGTAGTCACTCTAGTGTAATTTGCTCAACAAAATTTTGAATTTTGAATCTTGAATTTTTTTTCCTTGATCTGATCCGTGATCCGATCCGTGATCCGATCCATGATCCGATCCGTGATCCGATCCGTGATCCGGGCCGTGATCCGATCCGTGATCCGGTCCGTGATCCGATCCGTGATCCGGTCCGATCCGATCCAGGTTTTGTCGACACCGTAGGCAGTAAGCCTACATCAGTTGACAGAGCCCATAATTCATTACCTCCACCAAACCTAATGTCAGAAATTTGAGTTCTCAAAACATAAACCTGTAATGAAAATTGCACGCCGTAAATCCACTCAAGCAACTGACAGTATTCTCCAAATTGAATTATTCGTCAATTGATTGACAAATAATAATATGTCCAATTTGAGAACATTGATAGAAAATAGGTATCCAAAGGGTACATGTGTGGCCGGATACATGGATTCAGAATGCAATGCAATCCTTGCAAACTCATTTGCATTAACAGACACAAGCTGATGACAATAGTGTGGGATACCACAGGTATCCCACACAATAAAGGTTTGCACGAAATTCAAACTAGACACGCAGGAATTTATTCTTTTCAAAGTGGGTGGGACAGCAGCTTGACAAGTCCTATCAAATAATAATATTACATAATATATCCTTGTTTCATCAACACTTATAGTCTCTCATCTTGTTAAATACCGATTCTTTTACATTTTTTTCTTTTATCTCATGACATTTAAATACAAAATATTTAATATATTAATAATTATCATCTATTAAATAAATGATACACCACCCAAATACTGGTGTGAACAATACATTAGGTAGATCATGCTTTTGTCAGAATAATGTTTCACCCATGCCAATAAAAGCTCAATTATTATTCTTCAACATTTTTTCCTACCAAAAATCAGAATTTTTTAAAACATATATTAAACAAATCTTTGTATGTTGCAGAGACACAAAATTAAGAGAGCCAAGAAAATGTTTGCTGACAAGACTATCGACAGCTAAAGCCACAAATTGTTTTTTAAAGGATAAAAAAATCAATAACTCATTGGATACCCTCAGAGGGTTTTCTTTTATAATTTTGTTGACGAAGTAAAATTCAATTTTATGATGACTTTGTACATCATTTGAAGGTGCCCCAGTTTTAGGCACACAGACAGTACCCCTTAATTTAATTTTCAAAATATGTTTACAAAAATCTGTTTGAACTACAAGTACATGTAGATGGTACATGTAGCAAACAGGGCAAAGTCTTTGCAGCCATAAAAAATGAGTCTGCTCACTTGCAAACAAGAATTACTGGTACAATTATGGTAGACTATCTCTAGTAGACTTTCTCGTTTCTCTGAAGTTTCGAAGATTTAAATTCAATTCCTGGGAAGACTAAGAGAAAGTGACTTAATCCAACTTTAAACATCAAAAATCAATTTGTGAATGAACTGATGAACAGACATCTGCAAGTTTCAAATATAAATCCATTCACAATTTCAATGAAATTTAAAGACTGAAACTGCTTATCAATATCTGGAGTAACAATTGGTATCATCACTTGAAGGTTATGCTATTAAAATTCTACTAATTAACAATTATTCACCAAAGGCAAAGTGAACATCGGTGAATATTCACCTCAACTTTGTCTCAGTGAATATTCGCCAATGTTCACTGAGGCTGAGGCGAATAATTGTTTTAGTATAATTTTCAGAGGTGAATATCAAGGACTACAAAATAATGGACTAAAACATAAATACAGAGACGTAATTGTTCGTGTGCATACGTGTATGCAGTCGTAGTTTTAATAATAAGCTTACATTTACATCGATTGTCAATCAATTTACTCATCGAGTTCAGTAGTAAAACTAACGAGCGAAACACTATGAAAAATAAATTCATCCAGTTCCTTTGTTTTATCGTTGTTGACTTCATTCACAGTTGTCATCATCGCCTAAAAATGAGTAGCTTTAGTTTGAAGAAAAATGAATTTCAGTCAATTGATCTGACCAGCTGGAGATCAACGCAACCACTGCATTTACGATTTTTAAACGCCTTGAATACCAGTTCTTGAAAATATTCTTTGTCCAAGGGCGACAGCAGTCCGGTCATTTTGAAAATTCTCCATCCTTTCAAATATCCTGGACTTGGAGTGATGTTTTTCGAATAAATGAAAACTTCATTCAGCATCTGTCTGCCATGTTTACTTGCCGAGATGGCAAAGATGGCAAGCTTAGTAACCAAGCTCTAGTGGGGTGAATATAGCGTCATATGATGAGCTTTTCGACCAATCAGAATGTCCAATTCTTATATTCACCTCTGGAAATTATACTAAAAACAAATAGACTATTTACTCTCATTTCCTATGAGGTGGTAGTTGATTTGGTCTCTGGCAGGCTTCATCAACTATCACTTCCAAGAAATCTTGGGCTCATAATCTAATTGCTAATTGTTGTATTTAATTATGCATTAAAATATTTAAGATCAGTTATTTACTTATAACACATCACTATCTATTCCCTTCCGTAAATCCAAGTAGTGACCGTGCAAGTCATGTATGATCTAATAAAACTACATAGGAAACATTAATTTTCATTTTAAACAAGAGCTGTCTTCGGAAATATTTAAGTGAAAGAAAACTGTGAAATGGCCTGACCCCAGAAAGAGCTCTAATTTTATATCTTATTTACAAGTTTTACTATCATACATTTTAAAAAGGCACAACAATGAGCATAAATTGAAAATGTCAAAAGCCAAAAGACACAGTTACATCATTTTGCCAAGAATTACTATTAGTAGGCAGAGTGAAGATACTCGTAAGAAGTGCCATCATGACTTGTATGTATGCACTTCACCCAGTTCAGACTTCAAATTGAAAAAGTCAAATGTTGCCCTTGCATCTATTGCTCCCCCTTCAGCAATTCACTTCTTATTAATTCACGCCTTCACCTTAGTGTTCTAGGCATACAGTATTCTATGTACAACCATGATCGTCATATTATAATTTAGCACCACTTTTAATCTCCTTGAAAATGCTCCTTAAAAGCAAGTTAATTTAATTTAGTACAAAAATCTTACATCATACTGCATGCTACTAACAGGTTTTCATTACACTTGTATGCCAACAATAATTATTATTGATGTACATGTATGTAAGCTCATTGAAAACAACACACAAGTATGGACACCCATACACATCCAAACATTAGCCTACACATTTGATGTAACTGGGCCATTTCACAATTTTCCCTTACAAGTGTAAATGTAACCACAGAAAATGACTACATGTAGCAAGCTTTTCTTTTTAAGTTATACTACCACTGTTAAGTGAGAAGTTAAATAACTTAAGTGTAAGAACATACATATAGGCATATCAAGCCAGTCAATCCTGATGTTTCTTCTGAGCACAGATCTTCATTACATCGCCATTTTCATCAGAAACCATGTAACAAGAGAGACCAGCAGGAGGCAATCCTCTAGATGATTTGGGTGGGAACTGTCAGAGTGAAGCTGACCTGGCTCATCAATGTCTTCTGAGAAAATTGTGTAACACAACAAGAAGAGTCAATGATGAACATCAATTGAAAAATGTTATTTACAACACAACTGTGTGTGTTATAGACAATAACATTCTAGCAACTTGAACCATCAAAGGAAGCAGTTAAAGTTAACAAGTTCAAGTTGTCAAAACTGGCATCAAAAATGCATGGATGAGTTCTTATAGTTTGATTGTATGGGTGAGGGAAGCTCTAAAAGACTGTTGATGGTGACTGATATTTCGACCAGCTGAGCAGAAGTCATCTTCAGAGTCCAGTGAAAAGTGTTTGTCAGTTGATGGTATTACAAGTCTGGTCTGTTGAAACAGGTTAGTCAGTATGATGTTCAGTGATGTGATTGCTGACAACACCATTTCTATTCTTGGCTCGTACATGACCTCATCATTTTCTAAAATCCAAAACTAAAGAGCCACCAAAGTTTTTATCCTCATCAGGCATAAGAGGAGGTAGATTTATATCTGTTTACAACTTTTCAGCTCAGTAGCTTGCTTCGTCTGGAAACCAGCGCATTTTGAATTTCAGAGTTATGGCGGTGCATGACATCAAGCTAGGAGCATATTTGTCAAAAAATATATTCTTATCTCATGATTTTTAGCCTATTCAGAAGTTAAAGTATTAGGAAAAGTGCTTATGTAAATGCTTGCTTGTTCAGTAAAGATAATCAGTCGCCCAGATAGCCAACTGAAAGTAAGTTTAAGATGTTTACACTATTTTCCAGCCACAATGTTGGTGTACCACAGGTACACCAACATGGCGGTTCCATACTGGGCTCCATAAATTTGTGCAAAATATGTCTATGAATATCTGAAGTAGACTTATCATTAAAACCTGGAGAAGTGTCTTCTTTATCAATCTCCTATAACATCACAATTTCTTGACTTTATCCACTGAATGGTTTTCAAATTATTTGTTTATTGCATGACATTGCAAGCCAAGAATACTTAAAGCTTCTTTGTGTTCAGTCAGTCTCATGTAAAGGTTTCTGCCATTTTCTGAAGTCTGGTGGCATGGTCAGAGCATTTTGATCTTATAAACCACTTCATGTATTGAGTTCATCCTTGTCCTTAACATTTTGTCAGTAGGTTTCACAAAGTAGTTAAAGGCTTATGGGTTATGCAGATGTTGTAGGGCAGAAGTGCCCTTAATTTAAAGGTAGTTGCTCTGTAGAAAAAGGTGTCACATTCATGTTTGTTTTCTCAGTTTGAGTAGGTTGGTTAGAGCTTCGTCTAATAAAGTCAGCATTGTAATTCTTCTTGTAAAAAGACATCCAAAGTAGCGGTAAGCTGTCCAGTTTGTCACAAACTGGTCATGTCATCTTTACACCTTGATGGTTTCAGAATGACTCTTCAAGTAATCTATCGGTATGTGTCAGTGTTCTCTAAACTGTCATTCCCATTTTGTTGCTTAAAGCAGGCTAGAAAGCCAAAGGAAATGTTCCATTTTCTTTGATCTCCTTGCTTAACTATAATATAGGACCCAATGCCAGCACTTCAGTGTAATCTCAACAGCAAACTGCTCAAATTCATTAAAAGACTGATAATACTGCTTTGGCTATGCTATAATCATGCCACTATTACCACAATACATTAAGACAAAATTTACACTTTTCATGATCACCCTTGCAAACAAATGCCAAAATCCAGTGTTCCAAAGAGATAAAAGAAAATGGAAAACTTCCTTTTTTGGACTGTTGGGTAACAACAGTGTACAGAAAAACCATGGCATACCATCAGTTACCAACATATTATTTGGCAAACCATACAACATGTACAACCTGTCTTAATTCACACAAACGCACAAGAGACAAGCACAACTAGTTTGTGAAACTCCAGACAACTTTTGTGACAAAAACAGATATCTTGAATGTGATTTTTACAAGTCAGAACGACGAGATTGCTGACACTCATGAACCAACCTACTGAAACTGACAAAATTAACAGTAACCTGACACCTGTTTCTTCTGTTTTTACATCTGTTTCTACAGTGACTAAATTTATACCTAATTTTAGTGTAAATCTACTGTGTTCTGTCTTGAATGCCATTCCCTGTTGTAGGCCAATTTGTTCTTCAGGTCAGAAGGATTTCAATCTAGGTTAATTTGTGTCGAAGGGGAAGGGTGAGTCTGGGATCAATAACGTATTATGTACACCAAGAAATTTGAACAATTTTCAATGATTGCTTACATGGCCTTGTGAACAGGAAGGTGGACTACAAAGTAGGACAATTTCATATCTCATTTAAATCAGACATTTCACCAATCTGGTTAGACATTAATTAGATACAGATAAATATTTAGATGTCACGAATAATCTAATGACTCAAACTGTAAGCACATATGAGACAGTAACACAGAACAGAAAACCCACTCAGCCTAAGAGTAAAAAATTGCAAATTTTTTCTATAACCTCAGACATACCAAGGTTTATGAGCACTTCATTTGATGCTGGTCCAAGCCCTGCCTTGTTTTGTGCCCTGACTCTTGCACTATACTTTCCTCCACTTCGCAGCTTTACATGCAACTTCTCAAATGCAGTGTCTTTTGTTTCAACTGTGTGAGGTGAATTCCACGGAAGTCCACTTACTATGTACTGAATAATGTATTTTTCAACTACAGAACCACCATTTTCTGCAGGAGGGTCCCAGTAAAGCCTAATGAAGGTTTGTGCACTTTTAGTGTTAAATACTACTTCTGTCTTGAGATTTCTGGGTTCAGATGGTGCACCTGCGATGGAAAACCAATGAAAAACATTTGGACAGCATAAAAAGAAGAGGGCAAAAGTTGTGAACTTTTTGTGAACTGTGCTATAGCCCCAGCAAAGACTTGGTAGGTTGATACCAGGTTTTTAGCCAGATGGGTGTGCAGGCATCCTGTGGACAGCCACTTACTAAAACAAAATTGTTTTATTTTTCATATGTCGCCTTATAAATAGCTCATTTGAGCAGGCCCTATAGCACATTTTGGACTACCACTTTTCAAATTCTGGCTAAAAGCCTGGTTGATACCTCCAAATCCCATAGGTGTAACCAATTCTCAACATTACAAAGAAACTCTTGCTTTTTTTCTTCACTCTCTTTTGCTTTTAATTCTTACAAGCTTTAACCAGTACAAAGCTTGATTAAGGCTGTTTGTTTTCTTAAACTTGATATTTTTATGGGACTGAGCAATATAACACCTACTTAGTTTGGTTATGTTGATTATGTGGAATTTCACTGTTGACTTGGTTTCTGCCTTGCACTGCAATGTCTCGAAGTCTTCATCTTTGTTTGTGGTTATTGCCAAGAAGCTTTTACTTCTCATGTCGTCATGGAATTCTCTAGGCACAGTTCTGTTTGATGGTATATGCGTCCAAGAAAACATGACATTCTTTTGAATGCTCTCAGGCACCTTAACTGCACAGACCACTGTAATCTTACGGCCCACCCAGGACTCAGCTACCTTTGTTGAATCTGCCTTGTTTATCAAGAGATCTGAAAAATAATAAAATGTTCTAATTATTGTATTGGACATTACCAATGAGCACATGGAGTAAAGTTGTACATATGACATACATGTAACTTCAATTTATTCTTTGCAAGAACCTAAACTGACATCCCTCAACTGTAGTAAGTACTGTAAAACCTGATGTGTATATACTGGTTGTATCATAACTTCTTATTATTACTAAGTGAAGTCTTGTGAGTTATATTCTAAGACTGAAACCTTGTCATATTCACCAAGCAATAGTGAGGTCAGTATGGCAAGGAAGGGTTTGGGATTTTCCAATTAAGGTTACCGTATACCTTCAGGGGTGTCTCGCGTCCAAGCAATGCAGCGCATCTGGTTTAAGCGGTAGATACCTAAGCCCCATATCAAATTAAAGCTTATAGAGCTGGCTATCAAACTATACATAGAATTTTGAAAAGAAATGAATTGGAGTTTTCCGTGGTCCATGTTTACTTATAACTTAATAGAATTACACCTAATATTAAAAATGCTTGGATTAACAATGCTGATCAACTGAGTAGAGGCGAGTAGCCAGCCAATTCATGGTATCCATATAGGTAATATTCCCACAAAAGTGGTCTCGGTTGATTGCATACGTGTTATAGGGCTGTCAATCAAGAGGGAACTTTCACTTCCGGCTATAACGTAAAACCTCCATTTCTCCGCCAATATTTATTTTTTTTCATTTTTTTTCAGAAATTAGAGATTACTCCTCGACCATTACTTTGACCCAAAAATCCAAATTCGAAGAAAATTGCCGATCTGAAGGTATACGGTAACCTTAAGACCGAAATTTTGTTTATTAAATAAATACATGGATTTTTCTTTTGTTTTCGTGGGCCTGTAACAGGTAACACATCAGAAGTTATGGCTATGTGTGTCTAACATTCTTCAAAAAGTTGAACATATTTTAAGTCAAGAGTCCACATTTTTGTTGGTTATAGTACACATTATTTGCCTTGTGTCTTCAAATCACAGAGCACATCCGTCCATTAATGCATTGCAATAACAAATGCTCTGCATGAGAGCCCACTTTAAGGTCATTCCCCAGTATTGCATTGCGCATCCCTACTGCGCATAATTTCACTCGTGATTAGCGCACGTGCATTAAAAAATGGCAGCTTTTTCTTTTCAGCTGGACCTCACCACAGAGGCAAATCTTCATTTTCTCGCAAACGAGTATGGTGACCTATCATTTTTTTCTGTTGTTTTGAATTGAGTAATAAATTTCTCTGTGTAAAATAAACATAGACCAATTCTCAATGTAGAGCAAAAAGCAATTGTCGGAAACGTGAATTTCGCAAGCAATCGTAACTACAATCATTGTGCTATTATAAGGATTTACATGGGTATAAACAAGGTGCTTTTGCTCCTAAACGAACATGGGGACCCCTCATTTTTATTTCAAAATTTAAGTTCCTATAATATAAACAATCGATAGGCAAAGTTTCACAAAAGTCTCAGTGCAGGTTCTATTTCAGCGGAATGACCTTAAGTGTGTCAAATTATGAGCAAATACACCTGTAATGATGGATTTGAATTATGATTTCTAAGTCATCTACAGTGATCACATGTAGGCAACTGAGCAGTGTCAATTTTGTGGTCCAAATTGCAGGAAAATACAGCTTTGCAAGTCTGTAATTTCAATTTTTTTTTTCAGGGGGTTTAAGTCTGACAAAGAGGTCATAGATCGGATTGACCTGTAACTGCAAGTACTTGGGGATAATTTCTAATGTATATCCCATTGCAACAGCCACCTGATATTGGGCTAAATGAGTTCCGAGTTTTTCTGAGACGATTTCTTCAAGATAATTCGAATCTCATAAACGCAATAACAAACCAGCAAACTCGTTCAAAACTGACATTCTGTGAGCTACCACCCACACAATAATTTGTACAACAGTCCTTTCCTGGCTTTGTTGTCAGTGTAAGATAATATAACAGAAATTTGTATTCCACAGTGAGTTTTACTTTCATTGGTTGGACAAAGGAAGCCCTTTTCCCTCACCTAAAATGATTTATTTTCCCTGCTAAGATCTCTCCTTTTCCAAAGATCCCTTGAGTGATCCAGTCTGTGCATGCATCATAACTCGCATCAATATTCAAATTGAATAAATGTTTCTCTTGATTTTTTCTCCACCTGGATACAGTTTTGATTTCTTAAACAAGGCAAATACATTTTTTAATTCAAAAAATAAATTTAAAGCTTTAGAACTGTAACGTGCAAAAAGACATGACGCGGTTATGCCGACGCACAATTTTGTAAGCTGTGAACACCTGCCTATTGACATTTCGTAAGTAAAAAGTAAATTGCACAACTCGTATGCAGATTTAAGATATCAAACTATGATAAATTGATTCAAAATGATGATCCCAAAATATAGCCACAGGGTGAGAATTTCAATAGTCGTAGTTTCTACCCAAATTTTCTAAGAGAAGAAAAAAAAATAACCAAACCACTCCATAACAGACGTAAATTGGAGAAATGCCCTTAAAAAGCGTATTTTAATGTGCAAATGTCATCGCCTTTAAAAACAGGTGCATTTCCAAAATATTTATCCTCGTATCAACTGGGTCGTTTATAACGTGCTACAATCTAAACAATCCCGAATTTTCTTGTTCCTTCAATTAACAGCTAGCTACTATGAATACTGTAAAGCATATCATCGCACGCACAAATGCTTGAAAGTATAGGAGAGCAAAAATTGATCAACTTATTGACAATTTGTTTACAAAGTCACGCAAAAAAACTGAAAGGACCGGAATAGACACAACGTTACAGTTTCTGTGTTTTATACGTTTTATAAGTTTTATTCGTCATTTCGAGAGCAAGAGACAGGTTATTTTAAAAATGCTGGAGAAGTTGAATTAGTTTAAGTTTATATGCATAATAACCTTAATAAATTGCTCCTAGGAAAAAATACCTAGTGTCAAGACTTTTGCTAAACAAAGAAACGAATCAATTAGGCCGTATAAGGAATATTCGCATAGCCCCTCACGTACATCTTACAATTGATTCATTTGGCCTTTACAAAACCACACAAACGCTGCGCTGACAGAAGCAAAATTCAAATTTTTGCGCGCGGAACTTAAAAACATTACTCGTAAGTCATCAATCAATACTTACCCACAACAGTCAGTTCCACTGTATCAATCACAGACATTTTATCTGTACCATAATACACTTGACAAAAAAAAGTCACCGAGTCTTTCATTTTGATTCGATTGACTCTGAAACTTGCTCGCCTGTCCTCAACGATCACAACTCTGTCGCGAATCCATTCGATGGACGTTTCCAGGTTATTTCTCACGGAACTTCCGTTCTTTTTCTTGATATAAATAGCAATACTTTGCGGCTCTTCTCCATCGAGAGCCTTGATGACGACTCCAAAGCGAACCTCTTCCACCTCTTTAAGAACGTAGTCCCAATCAAATTGAACGTTCTCCCCAACGAATGCCTCCTTGTGTTTGGGTTTAGTGGAAAAGAAAATTTGGTCATCGCTTGCAGCCAGCACTAGTAAACAGAAAGTGAAAGAGTAAAAATTAATTTACAATCTCTTCAAGGTTTGGAAGACAGTTCAAGATTTGTCTTACCGAATAAAGTCCCGAACAAGAGGCAAATTGCCTTGATATGAGTGAAGACAATAGAACTCATGGTACGATACCGTACGATATCACAGCACGTTAGAAACAACCAAGCGACCACGCAGGCAGCGGACGGTTTTGTTGAACTTTCTTACCCTTGAATTCGATTATTAAGGCAAGGTACGGTTAAAAATGAAAGATGACTCCACTTGTTTCCGTATTATGAAAAGGCACGTTCCAAAACGTGGTCATTCTCTAACGTCAATGCAATCTCACAGCTCGTGTTCTCAAACAAATGACTTGTGGCCCGCTTAAAATAACACGCGTCACGTGACAATAACCGCACTCCGACCTTGCCGCGGGGAAATAAAGAAGTGGTCATCGCTTAGTGGTTCAGAAACAGGTTTCGATTTTCTTAAGTACTCTTAAAATAGGCGTAAGCTTTGAGTCTAGGTAGACAAATAAAAAGCCGATCATAACAACATACTAAAATATATTAGGTTGTGTGCGGTATGTTGATCTCTAAAAAGAGGCTTGGCTTTTTAAACTGGGAATTTGAACAGGAGGACAGTGTCATTTGGCGCTTGGTTGCCTTCAGTGGTCTTCAGTCGATGTGTCTTAAAATTCTGAAACTTTCACGAAGTGCAAAAGGGGTTACCGCATGGCATAACTCAGCATTGAAGAAAGGAAAATCAAAATATTGGATTTGTATTCGCCAAGTAAATCTGAAATAGGATTTGTGAGTTAATATTGATAACCGTTCATACTCTAATCAAGAAAATACGTATTTTGGTTGAGTGTATTCAAATTAATACTCATAATTTTATTACATTTTTAATGTCCCTGTTGCGGTTCCTTCGAAATCATATTTTTAATCAAAAAAGAATTACGCTTAGAAAGGACCTTGTATGTTTTTAAAAAGGTGCTTCTCGACCGAAAGACTTGTCAGGTCATGATATTTTTCCTCCGGACAATTTTGCGAAATATTTCCTGCATTCGATCCTGCATTGATTGCTTGTGATCAAGGTCTCGAATTCCATTGATTTTAGCGCTCTCTTATCATATTACACAGCAATAATAACTTTTCAATAAAATTCACAAGTTTTATTGATAATTTGGACACAAATTCAAGTATACAAGAAAAAAATTCTCCTGTGTACATGGAAGGAACATGATCTGTTCTATAATGTAATATTCTCAGTGAAAATAACTAAAAAACATCATTTATTACCTTGAAGAGTACTGATTAAAAACAAATATCTATTAATCAAGTTCATTAGGATTAAATTGAAGATATTTGCTTGATGGGATTAAGTAAGAGGAATTTGCCGCCAATGTGTCTGATTATCGAATGCCATCTACCGGCAGGCCATAGAAGTTCTACAGAATGCATCTGAAACCAGACGCAAGAGTCAGAAAAAAACCATAATTGCCCGGCAAAAGTCATAACAATCTACATGCCTTGTTAGAACTTAGTTTAAACAGTCATGTATAGCACTTTCGTTCTAATTCAGTCAGGAAAAATGCTATCAGACCGAGGTTTATACTTTTTAATAGCGAATAACGTTCTTCCCTGGCGGTTGGTATGTCAGTTTTTTGCAATATGATTCCTCCTATGTATCCAGCTGTCTCCTACCTACCAAGTCGGATAGACTCTACTCTCAAAATCTTTTCAAATGATTTGCTGGCGAAGGTTTCACACGGAGAAGAGCCGTATGAATCGCTTACCGCTAACTACCTCCCATGCTAAGTGCGTCAGTGATGCTTACCCTGTAGTTTTTGGTTCCCTGCAGCCAGTGATATTTACATGATTTGCATTTCAGTCTTCCTGAAGCACTGCCACAAAACAAAATCAGTGAAAATCAGTGCCTGGCCGTCGGTCTGCAGTCAGTTCGCTAGTCAACTACTGCGAAAGACATAAAAGTCATATTTGCAAACATTTCAAGTCAGCGAACTTATATAACTACTTCTTCGGTCACCCGTTGTCTTGCGAAATCAGATGTTGTGCATATCTAAGGCAGATATCTCAATTATTTCAAACTTTATTTTTCTGTTAGATCGCATGAGGAATTTGGACTGTCAACCGCGGGTGGCAACACTGTCTGTTGCAATACTTTGCTCCAAATGGTTTTTTGGATCAGCGATGAAAATGGAGCAATCTTTGTGAAATCGCCTTCCCTGACTACGGTGAAAATCTCTTACTTCTCGTGTTAACATGTATTACCTATTAACGTTCAAATTTATCTCGCTTCTGGCCAAGAAATCTACAGCGTTATAAAACAAATGTTGCTGATAACAAGCGTTAAAGAATTTGAGGCTATATCGAGACGGCTACCATTATGACAAGGAATATTTGTTATTGTGCTTGTTGAGCGCTTCCGTGTGGCTCTCCGGAGACCAGCAATTATGAGTGCTTCCGATGCTCAATTTATTTAGAATTATCGTTTGTCAGAATCTGGTGGAAGTTTGATTATCAAAACGGAATTAGCATTAGATTTCTTGAAGATAAGATCTATTACCCCCAACAGTGAGGGAAGAAAAAAGGAAGTGATTGACCGATCAGAAAGATAGAAATAAAACATTTCGATTTTCGCCAAGTGGTCAGGTTTTTTTGTACGTAAATAAATTGTGCTGTGATGAAAATAAAAAGCATTTCTAACCAAGCAAAGTTATATTAACATGCAGGTTTGTACCACATTGCCATGACATGAAGAATTTGCCGCTATATCTCGATCGAAACTAAAAGTTTATTGGGGTTGTCTCATAGCCCTGCTAATATAAAGAAAATTGTTAATTTAGTCATAACTATATATCGAAGAGTTTTTATTGACTCTCAAACTCCCTCCCTTTCATAAAGCCGGACAAGCAGCCACATTTGTTAGTGGTCGTTCTGCTAATCTTATTAATCTTCTTATCTCCTAATTATCACATGCGCTCATTCACATAACCCAAGATAAGGGAAAATATTTAATCTGTAGCACAGGTGTTCGGTGCCAGAGGAGCAAGGCTTCACTGATAGAAAACCGCTAAAAAGTCGGAGAAATTTCTTAGGGATAAATTGATCTTTTGTGGTCAAAGAAGGTTATTGGGAATTACCAATGCTAACCAACAGATTTAGCCAACAGATACCAATCTGCTGTAGCCGGAATGCAGAATTGGCCAGGTGTTAGCGAGATTCAGTTCACAGGCTTAAATTACTAGTCAAAGAGTGACTGTTGGATAATCTGCCATTCACTGCGTTCTCAGTTGCCGTGCATGCTACAGCTCCGTGATACAGATATACAATTAAAAGTTTGCAGTTGAAGGACCTTCTTGGCCGAACGTTATTCTTTCCATTACCACATTACAAATTAATTTCATATCGATAACCTGCTGTTACACTTGTCAACAGCAGGGAAGGGTGAGTGTTCTTGGAGTTTTGTTCATGGACCTGATTCTCAAGTCCTTCTCGTACTTCTCAGCTCGCACACGAGCGTTATTTGTCAACAGTCAATTTCATTCGTCTCTCATTGACCTAGATGCACTTACATGTAAAATGACCGTAATTTCTTTCCATCTGAAATGTAACGTTTCATGCGTTTAATATGGGTAAGCATGGAAAATAGGACGGCGCATAAAGCATCAGACGGAACGGAAGACGATTGAACAGACAAGTTATTCGTCCCACAAACCAGTTGTTTCCGTAACCAAGGAAGTAATGCATGAGTCAACGAAAACCCCGACCGCCCCACCCTCCCCCCAGCCCCCCCGGGACAAGGTGGGATTTGGAAAAGTCTCGCTCAAATGCCAAATAATACCCCCACCCTTGGGGATGCTTTATTAAGTCAAAACATCTCCTAATACCCCCAGGGGCTGTGTTAGTTAAGCTTTAGATAATAGCCTGAAAAGGAAAAGGCACTGACTGAGTTTTGCATCGAGCATTCGAGCACACTGCTCTTGCAAACGTTCCCCGCTACAACACATTTTTACGCCTCAATCCGCTTCGTGCCCACCTGCTTGGGTACAACAGTAAGCAGCGCATATAAAAACAAGTGGATTAAGAACGTCCGGCTGAAAGTTGGCCAATAAAGCACCATAAATATAAGAACCAATTCAGCCTGATAAATAAAACATGTTCTCATATAACAAGAAAGAGGATGCCAGAATAAGAAAGCACTTATATTAAAGCACTGTGGTGTGCTGGACCATACAAACTCTAAGAGCCATACAGTGCCTGACAGCAAGGATGGGACTGTGGGACTAATAACAGTTGATATGTATAGTATTTCTGAAACAAATTTTAAGAACATTTTGAAGCATTTTCAGAGTGACTTCTCATTAAGCACACAGTAAATAAGTACTTGATCAACCTGAACCCCGAAATCATAGGTTCGTATATGCGGGTATTTACTGATCCCTTCAATTTGCTTGTCCCCGTTTCACGTTCACGCAATATGTCCACGAGTGTGTGCCGACTATGACAGTCACTCTTGCTTATGAGCGGTTGAGTTACAAAGATTCGAGTTAACAGGGTTCATAAGGGGAAGCCGCAGCGGCGGCCTTGTTTTCAATGGTGTAAACGAAAACTGTTTTTTTGAATAAAAACGACTTGTGGCTATGCTGGATTCTTTGTTGTTTGCCCACTTCTCCGGCTGATTTGAAGCCATTTCGAGGAGCCTTTTGACCAGGCTTAGGAACGGAAACTGCGCAACTGAAACCAAGGATATATAGGAGCAACCATATAATGGCCAGTATTGCTGTAAGTTGACAAGTTACGAAAAGTCTTGCAGTGCCCCACTTCTCCATCATGATTGACGCATCGATCTTATAAAGAGTTGATATCTCTTGCTATAAAAAAGCAAGGTACTCTATTATTAAAACTTTTTCAATTATGACTTTTCGCATTTTTTCGGCAGCTGTAGTGTTTATTCTCTGCTAACAGGTAAATAACCCAACTGCAGATCAGAGCAGATCAAAGCCTTGCTTTAGGTGCACTGTAACAAGCCGACTGTTTTCAGAGCAGGTGGTCGCAGGTAAGCTTCATATTTAACTTAGTGATCATATTAAACTCAATGTTCAAACTTTAGGGCAGTTAGTCTAGCTAATGCCTTCCAACGTAAGATAACGGTGACCTAAAGTCAAAGCATTGGGCGAAACTCAAGTTCCTCTTCTAAATGAGCCGACTTGTCGTCTTCAAGCCAATAGGGGATAGTCTCAGTGTTACTTTCCTTATTGGCACTGTGACAGATAGACTGCCTTAAAACAAGTGACAGATTTCGTGCACTATGAGTATAAGCACATTTATCATAGAAGTGCGGCACAAGGGAAACTTAATTTGAGGCATTTTCGCTTGACGTTAACCACTGTTCAACGCGGATAATGGCGTGGCGCATAATTAGCTGGGCTGGTAGGGACACGGTAATCAAACAAATGATACACTTGGAAACTGTTTTGAACACTTAAGCAGTTTCTTCTTCTGACGAGGGGATTTCAACGTTCCTTGCCATCTAAACAGGTCGTCCAAAAGTTGTAAGATGAAGGTCCAAGGGATTTTCCTCGTCTTTGAGTTCGAATTCCGCGAAGATTTATTGTAGCTGTTCAAGGATATCCCCAGGTTTTGCCCTCTTTGTTCCGA